TGGCCATACGAATAATGCGCATTTAAATGTAAAAATATCATTGCGTCGAGCCTTTACCGGAATTTATTAGGATTTTGATTCTTCGCAAGTAAGTAGTTTTTATTGAAATTTCTGTTCGATCCCCGTAACGCTAGTCCCTGACGCTAACCTCTCTGAAAGGGGCAACCGATCTCGCTAACGAAAGAGGTTACGTTATCGCCGTGTCTTATCGATTGTAGCAATTATTCACGGGAAATTATCAGCTTCGATGGACGCGTGCCGCGAGCGTATTATCCGCTTGCAAACACGATAATTAACAACCGGTATATCCGCACGATTTCTTCCGACGTTCCATCAGACATAGCAATAACGTCGAACGCAGTATCTGCCGATTTGCGTAATCCACGCGAAAACGGACACGTTGGAAACATCGTTCAATGACGGATTAACCGTCGAACGAGATGCGATCGAACTCGCTGCGCGGCGGCTTACAGTTTTTATATGATGTCATCACCATTTTCCACGATAGAGCCGAGCCTGAAAGTCAGCTAGCGTATAAAAAAACATGGCGAACATTACCGTGGCAGCACGGGTTACGCGCAACATCGCGTACTCGGCGATATTCGGTAGAGGGGAAAAAAAGGAAGAACAACCAAGGGCTATTTGTAATAGCCAAGCTGCGTCGAGCAAGTCGCTTTAATGCTCGTAACGTGCTTCGGTAAAACGGACGAGCACCGCGTAAAATACGGATGAGACGCGTATAGTCGAGCTCGATACGACCTGAACTAGAACCCTGTATACCGTACGCTATACGTAACACAGCCAGCTATACACAACCGGCTCTTCTGTTCCGTTTCCGGCATACGCCACGCGAAACGTCGTACTTTCGCGATAACGATAAGACATTTTTTTTTCGACCGATCATCTCGGAGCATAATGGACCTTTAATGCTATGATTCAACTTCAAAAGACATTCATCTTTTCTACCGCAAAGGGAAGATCCGGGATTGCTGTCTTTTCGGTTTCAGCCTTTCAGGGATTCGTTCTTGGTTTAAATACAAATCTCTGAATTTACATTTTACTAGACGGATCTTGGAGTTAACCTTTTGCGCGGAAAATCGATTGACCTATTAGAACGACGAATTCACCGAAAATAAGTCGACAATTTTCGTGTTTGTTGCGTGCGTTACCCTTTTGACATTTTGATGCATGAGTTTGAAAAGAGAATTTAAGAGAATACGTATAAGGCGAGTTGTCTCGTAGGACTTTGACTGTTCAATCCGGAAGGTACCTTTTACTGACACTCGAAATTATATTATAGTAAGAAAAATTTCAGCTAATTTGTAGGCAAAAAGATTTTTAGAAGAATTATCCAAATAATTCATGCCGTTGTGTGCTTGCGGTACGTATTCGTTTTCAAAGCATCGTCGAAAAGAACCGATTGTCCATGGACAAAGCACGAAACATCGCTAACTAAGAGTTAACTAAGAGCGTTAGCTAAGAGTGTATTTAGGCATGACACGATTGTAGCAATCAGATCCCCGAGATTGGTGAGCCACGGAACAGCGAACGAGGTAACGATAGTTAGTTGGAGGAGCAAGAATTTGAATGGTTAGAGACTCGATCGAATACGAATGTTGAAAATGCTTTGTCCGAGCGTAAAATCGTGTCTGTATGGCCAACAATCGAGTCCGGGACGGAAGGAAATTCACGAAAGCGCGAATCGCCGGCCTGTAAAATACACACCTCCCCATGCAAATTCCCCAAGATTTATTATCGACAGTTATTACCGCGATTAATTGTTTTCTCATCAGATCGCGAGATATAGTTTCATCGATGCGTCATCCGATCGGGACGATTATCGTTGGAACGGCAACGCAAAATCGCGTCGCATCGATTCCCGCGAACAGAGTTCTCGTTTCGTCGAGCCAGCACACCCGGGAAGAAACACAATGGGAAGTGTATCCCTGTCGACGAAACGGATATACCTCGAGCAAACAGTGCGTTCGTCATCGAACCGTGAAATCATCGGTTTCGAAGAAGCAACGATCGTGTCATTCGTCGAAATATGTACATCGTTTCGCGAGGATCCGCGTGTGTTGCAAAAATGAAAGAGGCCGCTTGTAGCTCGAGTTGGCAGGGAAACCGCGTTTATTGCGTGCTTTCCCCGCGGAACGAAGATTAATGAAGGTATTAATGGATAATGGAAGGTAACTCGAAGGGAACTCGTCGGCCGCGGACAAAAAACTTCTTCCGAGATTCTCGGATCGCGCGACGATCCACCGATTCCTTTTAAAACTTTCCAGTTCGAAGAATAATGTACTTTTCTTAGGTTTACCCTCGAAAATCGCACATTCTCCGTGCGCTCGTTTCGGCTGTATTTTATTCGTTGATATTGTTTCGGAAGGTTAACGAAATTGCTCGAAGCGATTGTAAAGGAAACGCGTTAAGGGAAAATCGTAAACGAAAACCGGAAGAACGCGTGGAGGTTAGACGAGAGGCTTTAATTTCGCGCATCATCGACGCGGCTCGGCGTGGCGCGGCGCGACGCGATGGACCGGAGGTCGTTGAAACAAACACCGCGTAGCGAATTACCGGGATCGCTCGCGAAAATGATCTCGACCGCGTTGGAAATGGCTGTTCCGCTTCGTTCCAAGTGTTCGTTCGCGATCATCGTCTCCCGGTGTCCCGATTTAGCCACGGAGACACGCTCTCGCTCTCGTTGAAAAGGCGCGAGATAAAATTTATTGGAGGCGTTCGTCGCGTCGCGTCGTGTCGGCCAGCTCGTTCGCGGTAGTTGCGACAACCGGAAAAAAGCCGGAAGCTCTATTGTTCGTGAGCCGAGTTCCCCGCGAAATATGATTTTTGTTCAACCGAGTGTACGCAACGGTACGGCCACAGCCGACTCGAACAATGCGGATTCACGGATCCACCAGGATACGCGGCCGCGAGGGTTCTTTGGTTCGTTTGCGTGCAAAACCGTTTGCCGATTAACGCGACGGAAGACGGCGAATCGTTCGAGCGATCAGTCACCACGGTTGTGTCGGTTAACCGCGACAAATCGGTGCCCACCGATCCGAAACTCTGGCAAGGATGAAGCGAGGTTATCGAAAATCTCGTTAAATCGCTCGATACCGTCGAGCTAAAAGCGGTATGTCGTATCGCGTGTCGCCGCGTTTATACGTCGATGCATTAAGTACATTTTATTTAACCGCGGTACACTTTCGCGTTACAATCTATCACCTTATTTCGATAGATTATCCCGGATCGATACGTTCGAAACGCATGATTACGTAAGTAATCCCGAATGAATTGAAATTCTTGTTCCTGCTACGAAGCGTGATACACCTATTTGAAAGAGTACTACGAATCTTGCATTAATCTTCGGATGCCATAAACTTGTCGCACGATTCGAACAAAATTGCAGCTTTTAATAACGATGAAACGTCGTTACGCATTGTTCAAAGTGCGCATCGTACGATCGATTGTCCGTGGGTTATTCCAAATTGAAAAACCAATGATTCCTCTATCGCCCTTAGCCAACGCGTACGACAGTTTGCCGTCTACCGAATAGCTATTAGAAATAATAGATTTTCATAGAACAATAGATCGCAGAATCAAATGTACGAACGAAGTTCATCGATTAACGGAGCGGAGAATAAAGACACGTGCAACGAGATCCACGGCTGCGATAACCGTTCGAACGTACGAGCGTTTTCCGTCTTGACGGAAAGTACGACACGGTGATGACGACTAGGGGCGACGATGATCTTAACCTTGAATGATCGTCGAATGGTTAAATCGGAAAAGCCGTCGAAAAAGATCGCGAAGATTTTCCAGAAGGATTCGAATCGCGTGGCTCCGGCGGGAAAAGGACATCGCGCTCTCGGGGTGGGAGATGAATTATAAAGAGAGGTCCCACGGTGAGAGGTTTTACAGTTACAGTTTCACCGCATGCAGTTACGAAGCTGAGTCGATTACGGGAACTTTTATCGAACCACGCGTTTTTCGTGTTCCACGGCGAAGACAGTGTCGTCTGTTTATCGTTTAATCTTCCCCCGTGAAACCTTGTGAAAGATTCTTCCATTACGTTTTAAGGTACGACGGGATACGCGATCGGTGGAAAATGGAACGAATGGATGACAGTGTTTTAAATAGAGTCGAGTGTTATCGATTCTTGTAGTCTATACGAGTGAATTTAATAGATAGATTTCTCTCATCGAAAAGATTGCCTATTCGAAATTTCACTGAACGACGAAACAATTGTAAACACCTTTTGTAGTTTTAACGAATGCTTTTGGCGCGCGATCTTTTTGTTCCAGTTCAATATCCGTTGTTTCGTCGTTCGGAAATATCGGTGAAAATTTTCAAACGAATAAAATCAGATTCATCGGAATAATTCGATAATCGCATAACGTATAGTGTATTAGTGTAGAGTGTATAGAGGGGATCAGAGAAGGAGTTATGCCCTCGATCTCGGCCGCTTCCCGCGCTGACACGCTCGCGGGAATATCGAACAATGAAATATTACCAAATCGTAATTGCCTTTGTACTCGTTGCTTTTCACCGACCAGCTTAACGATAAAGCGACGATAGTTGCATTCGAGATGCAACATGTTTGAATAATTATCACTTTCGCGTCATCCTTTTCCTTCTCTTTTCTATTATCCCAACGTCGATTAATTCTGGCGAGTGTTGTCGCGGATAAAATTCCACGGCGTTAATTAGAGATAAATTAATTAACACGATCGGTTAGCGGTTAGTTAGTCGCCGATTAATTGGACGTTAGCTCGAATTAACGCGTATATTTAACGATTGCATTAATTTATGGTTACGTAAACGATGGATCGTTCCCTTTCTCGAGGCAACGAGAACGCTTCCGACGGCGGTGGGGGATCGAAGATTTATAAAGATAATTTCAAAGATATTTCCGTGAAAAATTCGAACGAGCGAAATACGTAGCGGCAACTAACGCGCGTGAATTCCCTGTTTAATGGGAAACTCTACTCGAATTCTGAACTTACAGGATGTCGTACAACGCGTCGGTCGTGTCACCGTGTTCTCGACCGTATCTGGGTCCAAACCTCGCGCAGACTTGTCCCGGTTCACAGTTCCTGACCTTTATGACTCTGTTGGACACGTTCGTCCGCGCGAAAGAAGAAATTTCTCAGCTCTGCGAACGAGTAAGGCCGATCGACCCACCGGAATACTATTACGATTTCATTGTCGTAGGAGGTGAGTATCTTATTTTAGATCGTTATTCGTTTCGTTCGAAATACCATTATGGTAGCGAATGTCGACCATTATGAGCGATCTTTTGTGTCGGTGCCCTGCGCGCGGTTAATTATTAACGCCACTTTCTCATCGTTCAGATGCAAACAGGCTAATGTAATAATACGCTCTAATGGAAGAAGAACTTCCATTGTAGGTAAGAGGAATTATTCAACGATATCCGTGAACATTAATTTCACGCTGCTCGTTAAAATTACAACGGTTATTCGACGTCGTCCGTGGAACAACTGAAATTTTACTAGCCGCATCCGTGTTCCCACGACGATGTTATTCATCGTTCCGTGAAAATTCATCGACCGATGGAAACCGGTGTTGCACGGAACTGGGAAAAGCTGACACTTTTTCGTCGCGAAGTTCGGTGCACGGTCAAACGCTAATTACGCTATCCGTCGTTCTATTAGTCTCGGACAGACGGCGCGACGTACACCGCTGTCGTCATCGTCATATTCGCCACGAAAGATTCTTCGAATACGAATGCTTAGCGCGTTCGCCGGTTTATCCGATCGAGTATGAAACGGTTAAAAGAAAGCGAATCGTTTCGCTAAGGCATCGTACGAATGCATAGAGACGTTTGGAGAACCGGCGCGATGGACGCATTATTCCCCTCTAAAGGTTATGGACGGGCAGAAACGATCGTCGCGTCGAAACGAGACGAGACACATTTTCAATCTCGGTAAACGGCATTTACGCGTACGCGATGATCAAACAGAATTATCGTGAATCGGAGCGCTCCAGTGGAGCGCTGCTCGATCGTAATTCGTCGATTATTACTGGCGTGGGAATGGCGAAAACGCGATTCGATGGCTCGAAACCGTTCACCGTTCGGTTGCGATATTAATACGTTCCTATTAACGTCCCTACGACTCTGATACACCTGCCAACGATTACTTCGCCTAACGTTTCGCCTAATCCTATTGTCACCGAAAAATGGAATAACGACGATACCGCGTCTCTATATATACACTGTTTACGTATCTAGAGGAAATTTTCCACCTTTGCTCGCTTATCTATGTTTGCAAGCGCATCGATTATTAATAATACGCTTAACGATTTAGGTGATACCAGTGTACGAATATTTGCTGTTAAAGTCATCGTTCGGTAATCGTCAAATATTAATACATTTTCGAGGCAAATAGAGAATGCGATATAAACGGTAGGGCAAAGTTAGTTTAGCGCATTAGCAAGGAGAAAATGAGCGTTGCTATTACAGCGAAACTGTTGCAAAAACCGAGCATAACGGAGGAGTGGAATGACCGCTTAAGGAAACACGTTTTTATCGGTTAATTTATAATTGCCGGGAATCACCGTAGCAAATTAGATACTCGTATTACATAAATTATCCGATAAGGTTCCGGTTATTAGGAACAATGATAATTTTTGCGATGCGTTATCGTTTTTCGAACGATTATTGAAATTAGAAACCGAGAGAGAGATGTTTATCGGTAATCGAAGAAGCGGGAGATCGAACGACGATCGTTGGAATCGGCGGCATATCCGATTCGCTCGACGACGACGACGACGACGACGACGGCGACTATGAAATATCCATTTCGGTAGGCCGAGCACCGGGAAATATTTTATGGTCCGGCGAGCCTGCATTTGCATAATCTCGCCGAATATTCAGCGTATCGCGCGATGAAAACGTTATTTGCCCGGTGACACTTTCCTCGATTATACACAGTTTTTCGCACTCCTTTTTGCCGTCGGGCATCGAGCAAATTAGCGTGAAATTTCTGTTGCTCGTTCAGGTTCATTCGAAACTGAATCGTTGTTTCGCGATTGTGTTTACGTCGATGATACAGGTCACGCATAAAACAAGCAACAAACAATACGTTAATCGAATTACATATTTCCTCTTTTCACCGTGTTACGTTAATGGCGCATCTACGTCATTGGCTACTGCGCATAGACACGAGGATATCACCGCGCGGCAAATCACCATGCTTTGGCGTTAGTTAGGGCGACTCGCAATGTTCTATCGCCGTACGTCGTGTCATTCTCTGAATCCGTTAAAAGTCTGAGCGAAGTAAACGTCTTAACTCCCTTCGTACGAGTTGCTCTCCTACGAAACGTTACCGAAACACGCGTATAAACGGAATCGAGTTATAAAACTGGCGACGCGAGTCGCGGACAATCGAGGAGAATCAAAGAAAATGAAGGAAAATCGAGGAAAATGAAGGATAACCGCGGTAGAAAATATCCGATTCTATGCCCCATTCGACGATTCGCTCGTTTCGGCTTTCGGCTACTACGTACAATAATGGATCGGTTGCACGGCGACGTTGCACAACCGCGTCAGTCGTTTTTTGTCCAAGTATAACAACGCTCTCGCCGAGTCGACCGACCTACATACTTCGTTTTCGGAAAATAGCATAGAATATCTGGCCGAGTGTAGAAAAAATTTCATCTTCTTTCGAAATTGTCATGATCTTTTTACCGTTCGTTCCGACTAACGGAAGAAGAGCGAAATCGATAATAAAATGAACATTGCAACGAACGAAACGGAGAATTCGTTTTCATACTTGAGATTAAGCGATCAAGTATTTTCGATGCGAGCTGGCAACTGTATGCGTAAATATGTAAAATTCGTTCGTTGAAATTTGATGCTTTAATTCGTCCGATCTTTGCCCGCGTTAAACAAAATACGGAATTTACATTGGGCCAATGAGACGAGTATGCCGCTCAAAGATAAACAAGTACGCGTACGAAGAGTTTTTTGAAACGTGCGTATCCCACCGATCGTGCTTGCACAACGCGATATGAAATATCGGATCGTTATAAATATTAAACATCGCGAATATCTATTTTACCAGACTTTTTTTTATACGGGTACGTTCGATAACTGAGGTTTGAACGATCCATGAAGTACAAAGTGAAATATTTCAGTTTCGTATCGAACGCGTTTTCTATTTGCTTTCAAATTCTACTTCGTATTTATATTTTTATGAGTTAAAATGACAAACTCGTGTAAACTAGTCCGGTTTCCGGATATATTATTGTCGCCCGTCGTTCGTCTCTTGTCGCCCGTCGCCCGAAGAAATACACGTGTATTAATTATTTTGTTCGGTGCATACGAAGGACGTCGATAAACGAACGTAACCTCCGCGTGGCGAGTAACATTAATAATATTACATATTGTGCTCGCGAAAAAATACAAACGTGTCGAACGACTAAAACAGTCGTGTTATTTTTCATCGCGTGCTAATGGAAATGTGTTTGGCGCGTTAAAAATGAATGTATCACGGAAGCGCATACGTTTCTTTCGAACGAAGAAAATGCCATTTCGTGCTTTGGCGCCGTTTCTGCTAGTTCCTTCTTCCACTTTCCTTCTTCGAAGGATACACGAAAACGCGTGCACCGTTACTCGAACCTCGCGGAATACCGATCGCGAGTTTCGTGGAAACCCGAGAAGCACCGTAAAGTCGCCGAAATATGCGACGTTTGCGCCAACTAAAATCTAATATCTAATAAAACTAAATTCTAATAAAATACAATTTTCTCCACATTTACAACTCTTGTTGCTTATTCTTGTTTCGTTCTTCGGTTACAATGTGTACACGTGTAATAAGATTTTACTATCTAACTACTACAGGTTGTTCATTTTTCACGTGAAAATTTCCGTAACAGGTTACGAATAATTGAAATTCAGTTGTTTATTATCATTTATGAAATAAATAAATTATTCCTTTCACGGTTGACCTAGTTCCATCATTCGAATCGTATTGCAATTGATCAAAAATATATTCCGAAAGTTCGTTGAACGCTTACGCGTGTACATGTATTATAAAGTCTTTATCGTTGGTAATATCCCGATACGAAAGAACCAACAGCGTACACGTAGATACCTTTCCATACTAATTACGCAAGGCAAATTACTGTAACTTCCTTATTAACGTAAAATTTCGCACTGGATCAAGATTAGTATCGACACACCCAGCTCTGTTACGATAGCTATTCTTCGATATTGGAATATTATTATATAAAACGTAAATGCGTGATATAATCTAGCTTTGCGGTCCACGTATACCGTGCGAAAGGAGCATCAAAATATACAACTTTATTATAAAATTTCGATATTTTATGAGAGGCAATACCGTCAACTTCACACGGATCCTTACCGTACGTTAGTTGAACGCTAAGCGTTACGTTAGCAATTTCGAAGAATTTTCAGATTTTCCACCGATCGAAATAAAGAAAGATTTGCGAAACATATACATTTTGATCGTACGTCGACACGGTGCTTAAGTAAACGATCGAATATTCGTACGATTATATCTGACGGTTCGAGTAAGGTGTGTATAAAACCGTGTCGCCACGTGCCTACGAAGGTAAAATACGTTCCGCGTAACATAGCAGCACGGTAAGCACGGTATAATTACTTTTACCTGTTGGCACACCATGGCCAAGGCCTCGTCGAGCAGCTTTCTAGTCCGCTTTACGGCGGACTACCCCGTTAGATAATACCACGAAAGGTGTATCGCTCCTAATCAGATGAATAGGCAACGGCATGGCAGCCGGAAGCGTTTCATTCGAGTACGGTACGCGAAGCCAATTATTTCGAGCGTTTCCACGTTTTCCCGCAGGAGGAACAGCCGGTTCGGTGGTCGCTTCTAGGCTCAGCGATATCGCGGAATGGAGAATTTTGCTGTTAGAAGCCGGTCCCGACGAACCACCGGGTGCCGATATTCCAAGTATGGTAGCGATGTTTCTCGGTAAGTTCGTTAGCCCGGTTTTCTTTCGCGATTTGGCTCAACCCGGGCTAACAGAATAATAGCCGGCTCGTTTTCGATCGAACAGGTAGCGAAATCGATTGGCAATATCGAACGGTGAACGAACAAAACGCGTGTTTGTCGACCGGAAGATCGTGCAGCTGGCCACGTGGCAAGAATCTTGGCGGCACTTCCAGCCACAATGGCATGATGTACACCAGAGGGCACGCGAAGGATTATAACGATTGGGCGGCCATGGGTAACGAAGGATGGTCCTGGGAGGAGGTAACGACTTAACTGGTTAGTCGTACGATTCAACCATCGAGGCGCTAACCATAATCGATTTTGCTGTATAATTTTTAAACGAATTAAGTGTCGCAACAAGAAGTAAAAGTTAAGCTAATAATTCAAAGTAGCAAATCGGAGCGATATTAATATTTGTTATATACCGTGATAAATAAATGTCAATTTTCTTCGTTGATTGCCGTCCACGAAAGAAAGTCGACCGAACAGGTGCATACGCGGTTGTGCCGCGCGTTGGCACGAACGCGTTGCGAAAATCGAGTCGCGTGTAGTTAACGAGACCGATTTGCCAATCCGTCAGTCTGATTCACGCTAATAACACGCCGTGCCGGAACACCGTTCTTTTTGCTCTTCCGTTGACAGGTATTGCCGTATTTCATGTGCTCGGAGAACAACACAGAGATCAATCGAGTTGGTCAGAAATATCATTCGACCGGTGGTTTGCTGACCGTCCAGCGGTTTCCTTGGAAACCGGCCATAGCCGATGACATTTTGGCAGCGGCTGCCGAACGCGGCTACCCGATCTCGGAAGACCTTAACGGCGATCAGTTCACTGGATTTACGGTGGCTCAAATGATGAACAAGAACGGAGTCAGAGCGAGCTCTGCTACCGCTTTCCTTCGACCGATGCGTCAAAGAAGAAACCTTCAGATCGCTCTGAACGCTACCGCTACCAAGATTCTTGTAGAGAATTCGAAGGCTGTCGGCGTTCAGTTCTATCAAGTGAGTACATTCGCTGGTACGACATGTACCGGAACGAACTCTGTTCACTTCCGTCGCGAACTGCACACGTTTTTAGGATGGCGAGCTTCGAGTGGCACGAGCGTCTCGTGAAATAATTGTCTCCGGTGGTGCGGTTAACTCTCCTCAACTTCTACTACTTTCCGGAATAGGACCAAAGGATCATTTACGGGCCGTGAATGTAAGCGTCGTTAAAGACTTACCTGGTACGTAACCACGCGATTCGATCAATTTATTTTCGTGTTATCGAATAAAAGTTATCGTCCATTCTGGTCAGGTGTCGGAGAGAACCTGCAAAATCACGTCTCCTACACGTTATCCTGGACTATAAATCAGCCGAACGAATTCGATCTAAATTGGGCCGCGGCTCTGGAATACGTTTCGTTCCAAAGAGGGCCCATGTCGTCCACGGGATTGGCTCAATTAACCGGAATCGTTCCCTCGATCTACACGACTCCTGATCATCCCGATCTTCAATTCTTCTTCGGGGGATATCAGGCGTCCTGTGCTTCCACCGGAGAGATAGGAGCTCTCATGGACAACGGTCGTCGTAGCATAAGCATATCACCGACGAATCTTCATCCGCGCAGCAGAGGTATAACAGTTTTAGAAACTAACCTTACCTAACTAACCTTAACGAAGGTAAAGAGAATACGAATGAAAGTTGACCATTCGAAATTGAAATATCGATATAGTGTCGCTTCTGTTAACTTTCCGATCCGGAACAAAGTTTGAACGCTTTCTAACGGTACTTCGAAAACTACGTTAACCGTAATCCCACTCTAATCGTCGAAAATTGTTTTCCTTCGTTACCGCCGGAAGAACGTAACAAGGTTATGACGCCGAGCTTATTCTACTCGGCGAACTTTTTTCTCTAGAACACGATCTATCTTGTCCCCTCGTTCTAGCACCGTCGAGATCAAACAATATCGGTTATCTCCGTGGAACAATTGAAAATACTCGAGAGTGTAGAGAACGGTATGTGCTTCTGTATCAGGAACGCTGCGTTTGGCCAGTAACGATCCTCTCGCGAAGCCTGTAATTCAAGGAAACTATCTGACCGACCCGTTGGACATAGCCATCCTCGTGGAGGGAATTCGGATAGCCTTGTCCTTCGGCAACACCGCTGCAATGGCGAAATATAATATGACGCTTAGCAACGCTCCTCTCGCAGCGTGCTCGCGGTATCAGTTTCTGAGTAACGATTACTGGAGTTGCGCCGTGCGTCAGGATACGGGGCCAGAAAATCATCAGGCTGGATCGTGCAAAATGGGACCGGCGAACGATCGAATGGCCGTGGTAGATGCACGGCTCAGAGTTCACGGTATTAGGGGCCTACGCGTAGCCGATACGTCGATCATGCCACAGGTAGGTATTTCCGGATGATTCGTTTTAGTTTTACTAACCGGATCGTCGCACGCAGATCGATCAGCGAAACCGTTGACGCATAATTTTCTGGTCGATAGGTAACATCCGGTAACACGGCTGCACCGGCGATAATGATCGGCGAGAGGGCAGCGGCGTTCGTCAAATCGGACTGGGGCGCTGCCGCGACACAATGGTACGGGCATACCCATCATCCCCCCGCATGGAAAAACTCGGCCCCGTGGAAACGCGATAATTAGTCACTAGCAATTTGCCATGTTTCCTAGTTCCCGTTCCACGATCGACAACTCGCTGGATCTACTGCTATGGGGGATCAAATACATCGACTGGGACCAGGCGGTCTGGTAGCGTACGAGATCCTCCTGGATCGTTCTAGTCCGCGATACCAGTGGGTTACCCTCCGAACGAATTACAGCGTCGATATTCCCGGTAACGTCGCCAAAGAAACGACGCTAAAGGACGTAGCTCGGCTCGGCTCGGCTCGGCTCGGTTCGGCTTCGTCTGCCTGTCTACCTTTCTCTTCGATCGAAACCGTGGAACACGCGGAGAATCAACCATGCCAACGAGTTCAACCGTTGCGGATCCTATTTTAACTCTTATCGTCTCCGTTCAACCTTTTACCCTTTCGTATTCTCCTTTTTACCGCAACTCGATATTCTACGCTATGACGTCACGAGAATTTCATGGAGGATCATACGGGTCCACCTACAGGCATTATCTCGATACGTCGTTCAGAATGAATACATTTACGGGAGAGAGATCGTATATGCAACGTTGTTTCGAATATTGTTTTCTCCCTTCGGGAACGTAAACGTACGCGCGTCGCTCGAAAAGTTCGAACGGTTTACGATTTTTTAACGTTGAAACATTATGTTTGTTGAATTGTATGTATAGTTTATTGTATCTCTGTTGTCGATTACTGTTCCGTCCAATCCAGTGTAGTAAACTGGATGTTTCGTACTTCTATTAAATGTACGTTGCACTTGGAAATATACGTATGAAAAAAACAATGTAAATTGTTAATCGTACGAAGCGAACGAATAATTCCAGTTCTCCCAATCCTTGATCGCTGTCGATTCTTCTTTCGATTATCGACGTTCCTACTTACGACGAACCACGTAATGATTTTAATTCGGGAAAGTTTACGCGAAATTACGAAGATGAATGCGAAGAGGCAACGAGAAGCCCCCCACGTACCTTTCATGAAAATTCACCGATCGATGCAATTAACCTATTAGCGCACGCAACACGAGAAACAATTGTAACCGCGTGCGAAGCATTATCGTAAACTATACTATCAGAAGGCCGAAATTTTTGTAATTGTTGAAACGTGTCGAATGCCGAATCATCGCTCCTTCCTGTCAAACAACTTCGATACTGTTATGCTCGGTTTATCAATATAATGAAACGTTAGATATGGGTAATTTGCAAGAATAATTACGCAAATAACGATACACGTGTATTGTTATCAGTTTCTTGGGTACGAGTATAAAAGAGAACAGCAAGAAGAAGCAAACGGACAGTCAAGCGAGACGATTTACCTACTGTGCACGCGTTTTCGTCCGACAATACGACATGGTACGTTCAAAACTTTGTTCATTTACTTTTTCAAGAAGTCGTCTGCCTGTCTACCTTTCTCTTCGATCGAAACCGTGGAACACGCGGAGAATCAACCATGCCAACGAGTTCAACCGTTGCGGATCCTATTTTAACTCTTATCGTCTCCGTTCAACCTTTTACCCTTTCGTATTCTCCTTTTTACCGCAACTCGATATTCTACGCTATGACGTCACGAGAATTTCATGGAGGATCATACGGGTCCACCTACAGGCATTATCTCGATACGTCGTTCAGAATGAATACATTTACGGGAGAGAGATCGTATATGCAACGTTGTTTCGAATATTGTTTTCTCCCTTCGGGAACGTAAACGTACGCGCGTCGCTCGAAAAGTTCGAACGGTTTACGATTTTTTAACGTTGAAACATTATGTTTGTTGAATTGTATGTATAGTTTATTGTATCTCTGTTGTCGATTACTGTTCCGTCCAATCCAGTGTAGTAAACTGGATGTTTCGTACTTCTATTAAATGTACGTTGCACTTGGAAATATACGTATGAAAAAAACAATGTAAATTGTTAATCGTACGAAGCGAACGAATAATTCCAGTTCTCCCAATCCTTGATCGCTGTCGATTCTTCTTTCGATTATCGACGTTCCTACTTACGACGAACCACGTAATGATTTTAATTCGGGAAAGTTTACGCGAAATTACGAAGATGAATGCGAAGAGGCAACGAGAAGCCCCCCACGTACCTTTCATGAAAATTCACCGATCGATGCAATTAACCTATTAGCGCACGCAACACGAGAAACAATTGTAACCGCGTGCGAAGCATTATCGTAAACTATACTATCAGAAGGCCGAAATTTTTGTAATTGTTGAAACGTGTCGAATGCCGAATCATCGCTCCTTCCTGTCAAACAACTTCGATACTGTTATGCTCGGTTTATCAATATAATGAAACGTTAGATATGGGTAATTTGCAAGAATAATTACGCAAATAACGATACACGTGTATTGTTATCAGTTTCTTGGGTACGAGTATAAAAGAGAACAGCAAGAAGAAGCAAACGGACAGTCAAGCGAGACGATTTACCTACTGTGCACGCGTTTTCGTCCGACAATACGACATGGTACGTTCAAAACTTTGTTCATTTACTTTTTCAAGAAGAATCGTCGATCGTTAATGTTGTATGGTACGACGCTTCGTCGTTCGACGGGTTGCGGATCTAACGCGTGCATCTGATTCGTGGCGATGTAACGCGTTCGCGTATAAAGCAACGTATCGTCGTTTAACGGGTAACGATCTGACTCGGCCATTGTTCGGGGCCATATCGACCCAAACTCGAATCTAGTAACGTTTCTATGCCCATATAGTAGGAGAGTACACGGAATAAATGCACTTTGTTACGTTTTGTTACAGAGTTTGTTGAACGAACCCGAACCGCAGGTATCCTGCTTGCATCCATTCACGGGAGGACCCCAGCTTATGGATGTTTGCACCGCGAGCAACGGAATTCTGTTTCTAACTGCATTAAACACTCTGTTGGTTCGAAACTCGAAAATTGGTGAACCGTGTGGACGTATCAAACCGGTTACTAGTCCAGCTAGTAGTTATGATTTCATCGTCGTCGGTGGTAAGTTCTTGAACAATTTGATTCGGTGCTATCATCTATGGACCGAGTCTCTAATGTACTTCGATCTCGACGCGATATCTTCGGCAAGCGTTCGATTTCTGAAGAGAACGGGCAGAACCGAGTTTCGCTCGATTCAGGAGCGTATTAGCAAGTTCTTAGAAAATTAATCGATACGTCTTTGACCGCGAACGATTTCTTTGTAACTCGGCCGAAATAACGATAGAGTATTTCGCGAAAGGTAGACAAGTCGTTAAATGTCTCGGTGGATATTTTATGATAACGCAGGAGGAGCTGCTGGAGCGGCAGTGGCGGGAAGGTTGAGCGAAATAGAAGATTGGAACGTTCTCCTACTCGAAGCGGGCCCCGACGAACCGGCAGGATCCGAAGTACCCGCCAATCTTCTGCTCTATCACGGTAAAAAGAAGCTTTCGTTAATCGCGTAAACGATTAATCCGAACGATACACGTTTCGTATTTTTTAACAGGCACCGAATTGGATTGGAATTACAAAACGACGAACGAGTCGTTCGCTTGCCTGAGCAGCAACGGTAGCTGCACTTGGCCTCGAGGAAAGAATTTGGGAGGAACCACCATACATCATGGAATGGCCTATCATCGAGGACACCCGAAGGATTACGAAAGATGGACCAAACTTGGTGTCGAAGGATGGTCTTGGGAGGAGGTACAATTTTATGATTTTAAGAGAACATTTTTATTCGAAGCGAACACTTCCGTTTAAACGCACGCGTGTAAAGTATAGTAAAGGCATGCTACGAAAGTACAGCGGAAGAATTTGTTTTCGTAGGTTTTACAGTACTACCTAAAGTCGGAGGATAACAAAGAAATCGATCGAGTTGGCACGAAGTACCATAGTACCGGAGGACCTATGTCCGTCCAGAGGTTTGTCTTCTAAACTCGAAACGTTCGATCAACGTTACAACCGTACGAATTTCAGTATCTTTCGATCTCGACAGATTTCCCTATCAGCCTCCGTTTGCCAACGACATTCTTAAAGCGGCCGAAGAACAAGGCTTTGGCGTCATCGACGATTTAGCTGGACCTAAGCTCCTGGGTTTCACGGTAGCTCAAACTATCAGCGAAAATGGAGTAAGGCAGAGCAGCGCAAGATCGTTCCTTGTACCGGTCGCGCATCGTCCGAATCTTCACGTAGCCGTGAACGCGACTGTCACGAAAGTCAGGACAATTGGAAAGAGGGCGACCGGTGTGGAAGTTATATTGGTACGGTATCGCGTGAAAATTCTTACTCCTAAAGCGCACAATTATTTTTCACTAAATTCAACGCGCCTTTCAGAATGGAAAGAAACATATCATTAGAGCGAAACGAGAGGTGGTCTTGTCGGCTGGTGCGATAAATTCGCCTCAATTGTTGCTGTTGTCCGGAATTGGACCAAAAGAACATCTCAAGTCCGTAAAGATTCCCGTCGTACACGATCTGCCAGGAGTCGGAGAAAATCTTCATAACCATCAGTCGTACGGGCTTGATTTTACCGTAAACGAGCCATACTATCCGATGTTGAACGAATCCAGCGCGGCACAGTACGTTCACAACCAAACTGGACCTTTGGCCGGCACAGGTTTGGCCCAGGTTACCGGTATGGTGGCATCCAGTCTTACGACTCCGGACGATCCAGACATTCAGATATTCTTTTCCGGTTACCAAGCCACGTGTTCGCCTAAGCTAGCGATCGCGGACTTGTCGACGTACGACAATCTGATGACTGTGAGATCCTCGGCAGTCAACCTACGGCCAACGAGCAGAGGTAAATCGTTCGAGTTAGCTAGCAATTTTTGTTCGCCTTTTATTTTAAAAAGAAAAGCTTTTCCTCGCTAACTATTCACCAGCATCGTTTCAACCGTGTTTCGCGTCGGTTTCACAGGTCGCATCACTCTCAAGGACAAAAATCCACTGTCCCCGCCCGTTATCTGGAGTAACGACATCGGAACTGACCACGACGTTAACGTCATAGTCGATGGACTTCACGCTATCTTGAAATTAGCCAACAGCTCGGCAATGAAGGAAGTTGGTTTGACTCTGAAACATCGGCCCATAGAAGCTTGCTCTCAGCACGCGTTATTCAGTGACGACTACTGGAAATGCGCTATTCGCTGGGATTCCAGGCCGGAAAATCATCAGACCGGCAGCTGCAGAATGGGTGCCGATTCGGATCCAATGGCAGTGCTTGACAGTCGATTGAGAGTACGCGGTATGAAAGGACTTCGAGTTGCGGATGCGTCCTCTATTCCACAAGTACGATTACCCTTTTTTCTATATCGGTTATAGCTACTTGCTTAATTTCGCGAGTTTCGAATTCTGTACCGTAATCTCTGTTCCGTTTTTCGCAGGTAGTGTCGGGCAATCCAGTTGCTTCGATCAACATGGTTGGCGAACGAGCAGCGGACTTCATCAAACAGGACTGGGGTATCGCAACACAGTAGAACCACCAGTGAAACGTGACTATTCGAACTACACCATGCTAGTATCTTAATAAATTACTCCATAGATTGCATTTAAGCGTTTTACCGAGCTCCTTCTGTGTTCCGTCGATCCCAACTTCTATCAGTTTACGCGTTCTACGTTTTTCTTATAGCATATAGAATATGTATATCCTGAACATCGGTTGTTATTTCATCGACTGTCGTTCGCGAGTAATCGGAATGAAACTCGGCAACGCGACGAAGAAGGAGAGAGATATAAAATATGAAACTTTAGCATCGAAAATTCCTATGTTCGGAAGATATTGCTCGCACGGTCATGACAAATTTTGGTCACTGCATCGGAATAACCGAACTTCGCCCTAATTTAAATCTTGCAGACATCTCGCTGCGAACTGCCGAACCGACTAGACGAGGATTCGCGTATATTTCGGACAGTCGAACCGACGAAATGGAATACTTGTGTATATCTCGCAGCGAGCAATATATCCCAAGCCAAACCTAACCAAATTTGTGGATATTTCAATGCGAGCGGTCGAACCGACGAGACAGGGATTTGGGAATATTTTGAAGCGAGCAGCTAAACTGGTGAGACGGGAACTAGCGTATATTGCGCAGTGGATAGTTGAATCGACGAGACGGAATACTCGTATATGTATATATACATTTATATACATTTACATATATATGTATATGTATTCGAGCAAGCAATATTTCAAGAACGGGATAATTGCCAAAGCGGAGATTCGCTCTTATTACTTTTCGTATCCGTCCCGAAAATTCGGGAGAATAGCAGGTATTTTCAGACTTTGCGTCAGCCTAAGAAATAAAACGACTTTCTGGATGCGAGATAATCGATTCGATCGCAAGATACGTCGAAGAAAATAGATTGATTTTAAATGATGAGATTTGAGCGGCACAAATCGTAGGAAACATCATCGGGAGAGGGAGTTCACTGACGAGCTAATGCCTGGATAGAAACTCGAGGCTTAGTTTCAGGGATGAAAGGTAATAAAGTGGATGATTAGAGACACTAAAGTTATCCCGTGAACGGTGCTAATCGATTCGATCGATTCCGAGATTCCGATGTCGCGAACGCCTACGCTGTTTCCCTGGTCAGACGGTAAAACTTCGAGACTCGTAGCTCCCGCGAAATTTCCTGGAGAATCCTTCTCGTCCGTGCTCGCGACCGAATATTTAAGCTTCGTCGGAAAGCTTCGGCTCGACCGAGGCGGAGCATTGGCCCGCGACCCCTGAGCAACGAAATTAATTTCATTGACTCTTTCTCGAAGCACAATAAGGCGCAATAACGCGGTTCAATTAAAATTAATAACGAGCCAGGCGGATGCATTCGAGATTGAAGAACGCTCGCGAAGAAAGGTCGGCTCGCGATATTGTCTGGCACAGGATTGTTAAGATAAAAACGGGCAAGGTAGAGGGAGAGAGAGAAAGAGAAAGAGAAAGAGAGAGAGAAAGGAGGAGAGAGGCTGAGGAGGTCGCGTTGGTTGAACGAAGCTAGCCAGGCCAAGTCGAGGGAACGACGGAAGGTAGAAGCACGGTGAGCTGCACTTGACCTCCTTGCCGCCCGCACACGCTTATACGCTCCACGCTTGTACGCCAAGAACGATATCACGACCTCTCGTCCAAAGTCGACCGTTTAAACTTCAACTTTCCCGCGAGTAGAGCCGTTCGATGACACACGGTGTCGAGCCGTAATGAAACACTTGAACGTTTTTAATCCACGAATTTCCAGATAGTTTCGAACATTTTCGTTGCACAGTTCCTACTTCGAACGTGCGATAAGCGTAAACGTGTTCGGTAGACAAGGGATTATAGACGTCAACGGTATAGAGGTAATGAGGCGATTAATAAACGCGAGTCTGTAAAAACGTGCCGATTTAAAACAGCCGTCAATCGTCGAACGTAGCTGAGAAATTATAAACGATTTTATTTTGCGGCACGAAATCCGATGTCGCGATACCGTGAACTACGCGTTTCCGTAACGACAAAAGTCATGCAATTTCGTGCTGACGCAGCAAACGTCGCGGTTAACAGACACGCGAACACGCGTGTTACAACATGGACCGGTACTTTTTCTTCTTGCCTCCAGAGACAATGGCGTTCGAGGTAAGCAAAGATAATCGTCTAAAAGAACAATAAGATTCGTTAACGTTCTCACGGAAAATCGGAAGAATTATTTCGATATCGCAGTCGAAGAAATAAATGTAATCAACTTTCTCGTAAGAAAAGAGAATACGTTTGCGAAGAACCGATCGCGAACGAGTTAATTCGCGGAAAATATGGATTCGGGGCAACAAGCAGTCCTTGAATTCTATTTGCCCGAGCCTACTTTTACGTTCACTCTGAAAATGCCAACGACTACCGGTCGAACGTTCCCGGAATCTGAGCGTTCGCCAAGGTAATTTCAACGTCCTCGCGATTATTCGACTCGATTATATCGATGCAACGATATCGACGAGAGTTCGTTGCGAAACGCTGTCCACCGAGATCCTAACGGTGTCACGAGCCAACACGTCTGTTATCTAGCCGGCGAAGGAACGCGTCGAGATCGAACGAAACGCGCGATCCTTTCGCGTAGGGAACGCGAATTAACGTTAAAGCAATTACAGAAACGTTTTCAATTGTCGCGGTTCGGATCGCACTCGTCGAGCTATCGTTTTCGCGGGCCCGGTTCGTGTTGCGAAAATTATTTCGTCGGACAATGCGGATGCATCGATCCCATTCCCGTATTGAAAACGCTCGCGGTTTAATAGAGATTCGATCAAATCGAAACGCGGGAATCGAGAATGGCTCAAGTGTTAACTACTTCATGGAAATTTCCTCGAATTTGCCATGAATTTCGTGCCAGCATTTAATTACTCGTAGCCCCGTTACACGAAGCATCACACTTAATTCCCATGGGTTATCCGTTTAATCAAAAACGATGAATTTATCGTACGTTCGCAACAAAGTGACCACGCGACGCGTCGTTTCAGTGCTAACTTCGAGCAAGATTCTTTGTTTCGTTTTTTTTTTCTGGTTCGTGCATCGCCTCGATAACGCGCGAATCCCGCCATTGATTAATTATCGCACGAATCGGTGCACGCTGAAATTCTGAACGTTTCGAGCGTTCGGCGTGATTGAAGCTATAGTATTCGCCAGAGATTTAATTGAATTGGAACGCGTCGATCGAACGCGGCATTGGAGCGCCTCGCTGATTCGATCTTCGTTCACGGGCCATCCGGATTCGAGTCGTGCTATCGATACACCCGGCTGGATCCGCGGGAAGCCACTCGCAGTTTTTTATTGCCGGCCTCCTCCTTGTTCCGCGACGAGACTCGTTCCGCGATCGGACAGCGATCTCGGTAAGGTAGAATGTCTGCATAAAGCGTCGTTACCGAGAAACTCCAGCGTTTTTTCCAACGAACGGCCATCGCGTAACCGTAGAAGCGAAACAGCAAACGGTTGAGCGGACGACGACACAAACAAACAAATTATAAATAAAACATTGAACATCTCGGAGACGCGTGTAGATGCAGGATCCGCGGCGTTGCGCCGTTTCGCGTCGTCCTCCCGGTTGTCGTACTCGTTGTCGTCGTGCCAGCAGCGTAACGACCGCTTTGAATTTCATGAGGGTGCGAATGAATTCATAGTGGGATGGCGCGGTTTACCCCCCGGAGACTCGACGACTTCAAACACTTGCCGTGAACCTCCGTCGCGTCGGTTCGCGGAAATTTCCCACTAGCCACGGTGTCGTTCGAAAAGTAATAACAACCGTTGCTTGCTTAACGATTTAGCCTGTGTAACTTATCGAGTCTCTTCGCTAATTCGAAGGAGCGACCAGTGGTTCAGTTATCGCGTTATCGCGCTGGACTTTGGTAGACGAAAAGTAGTCGTAAAAATACGACACGCACGGCGCGGTGCGACGACGCGATCGAACGAATAATAGGTTCGGTTTTCTGGCAGGAAAAGCTGAAAGTAGCTGGAAATGTTGGAAGCGAGCTTCGAAGCATGCGCAGGGTGGCTCGTCGTTGAATCCGGTCCAGCTAGGTGACGTCACGCGCGCAGGTAATCTGTTGAAATCCCGAGGGTTGGACGACGCAGCGCGCGCATAATGCGCTTTGTCGCGTTATAGAGCCGCGACGAGAGTACACGTACTTTGTTTACCAGAGCTTTTTCGCGGATCAACGCCAAGCGACGGCCGACGAACGACGAGCGACGCGCATCGAGAACGCGATCGTGCTCTACTCCGCGAATCTAAAGACCGTGGTTCGTTATTCTGGCGTGAACAAAAGCAGTTACAACGCAGAAAAGAAACGAACGGGGAACTGAGAAGAAAAGGGGTTGAGTTGGGCGGATGGAAACCCGGTTAAAGAGAAGCTTGGTGGAAACAAACGCAAAGGCTCGCTTCTTTTCTCTTTTCCTTTTCCCTTCCGTCGTTGCCTCTTGTCCCGGCATAGACGGATCCGGACCTCGACGTTGCTTGTCTTCGTTTCGACGTCATCTCGAGTAATTGCGGTTGCATGGAGCGTCGACGGAACGCGCAAATGCGCTTTGCAATTCGAACGAGAGCCCCGACTGGCGAGATTTAAACGGCGTTTATCCGCTCCCGGCGAGCACGGCTCCGAAGATGTTCCTCCCGTTACCTCGACCGACAAAAGATTCCTTCGGGTAACGAACCTCTTCGAATAATCGCCGACGACATGCTGGAATCGTTGCGAATAATAAAACGCGGAATCCAGCTTCTCGCCAATTGGAATTTAGCCAATTAGGATACGCGATACATATTCGATTAATCGCGACTCTTACTTACCCTTACTTACAATTCGTTCGCGCCGAATTATGTATTTCTAGTTTCAATCCGAAACAATATTAACGCGTGTCGTGTACGATGCAATTATCGCGGGACGATAACGTTCAACCGCAAAGGTATCACTGTCCGCGATGACTAATTCGAACTTCTGTCGTTGTCTCTGTGCGTTTAAACGCTTCGCGTCCCCGAGGGAGAACCACAGTCAGCTTGCAG